TCATATCTCATAATGGATGGTTGTGAGCCACCATGTGTTTGCTGGGAGTTGAACTCAGGACCTCTGGAAGAGCAGCCAGTGCTCTTAACCTCTGAGCCATATCTCCAGCCCTGTTCTGCTCTTTTAAGACAAAATCTCACTAGGTTACCAGGCTGGCCAGGAACTCACCCAAGCTGGCCTGGAACTCCCTGTATGACCCTTGTGCTTTAGCCTTGCAAGTACTGAGGCTGCAGGTGCTGTGCAGACATACACACCCACCCCTGGCTTCCAATTCCACAGACTTCACTGTCTGCATCTTGGCTTTCTCCTCCAGATCATGTTCTCCTATCTGAGCTCTCATCTGTGTCCCTAAAATCATTAGCTCATGAGAACAGGAGTCATGCTTATCTTGTGTCCTATTCTTTGTTTGGAACAACAAAAATCCATAATAAAAACATATTACAGCCGGCATTGGTGGCTCACGCCTTTAATCCCAGCACTTGGGAGGCAGAGGTAGGCGGATCTCTGTGAGTTTGAGGCCAGCCTGGTCTCCAGAGTGAGTGCCAGGATAGGCTCCAAAGCTATACAGAGAAACCCTATCTCGAAAAACAAAACAAAACAAAACAAAAAAATTACATTAGGCCTGGAAAGATGGCTCAGCAGTTAAGAGCTCTGGCTGCTCTCCCTGAGGACTGGGTCCAATTCCCAGCACCCACATAGCAGCTCACAACTGTCTGTAACTTGAATTCCAGGAGACCTGACACCCTCACACAGACACACATGCAAATAAAACTCCAATGCACATAAAATAAAAATAAATAAATTATTACAATGTATTGCCTTGAACACTGAAAAGCAGTGTCAAGATCTGTTCAAATGCTTGCTCCATTCTCTTGGGTTTAAGTACTATGCAAGTCAGGGTGGAACACTATGTTCTACCCTCTCTATGGACAGGAGGAGTGTGCCAGCAACTGAAAACACAGTGTATTTGTTCCCACAAAGGCTCAACAACAGGGCAAGGCTGGATGTACACAGTCTGTATAGATGCCCAGGGCTACAGGGTGGAGCTCAGTGAAAGAGGCTGTGATTGGCATGCCTGAGGCCCTAGGTTCACAGGACCATCAAACAACTGTACATAGGAACCCAAGCCACACACTACATACACTGATTCAGTCTGTGGGGTCTGAAGCATAAACTAGACATCTACACTGTTGGCTCTCCAAGCAACTCTGCTGTGCATTGATGTTTGACAGACAGTAACAGGGTGTATTAATTATAAATTGTAGATCAACACGAATCTGCATTTACCATTATAACCTTTCTGTTTATTTTTAGGACAGGGTCTCAAGTAGTTCTATGGGGCCTTGAACAACAATCCTTCCACCTCTACCTCCCCAATGCTGGATTACAACCACACACATCTGCACCTTCACTCTTACTACAAGCTGGTTCACTTAAATGCACTAGGGTCATTATACATACTTGGTGACTCTGCGCTCTCGTCTTCTGGGGTGTCTGAGGTAGATAATAGCTATGGGGAAAAACATACATGTTAAAATGTAAACTGCATCCCACTACTGCACTGAGAATCACCAACAAAGCTGCTTTACTTAACCTACTACCTTAACCACTTTGCCATCCAGAAGACATTTTTTTTTTCAGTCAAAAGCATCATTTCATTTACATTTACCAGGGGTTTGAACAAGGTTACCAGCATCCAATAGACAGTGTGCTGCAGTGAGCAGAGCCTCCTCAGGATAGGACTGGCTGGATTCAGGAGAGGCCACATGATGGCCTTGCATCTGCAGCGGCTGTACCTACTCATCTGCTGGGATAGATGACTCAGCACTCGGTTCCTCTAGCCATGGCTGATAAGTTCTTGAAGCTTAGACTATAAAATAAGTTCCCATATGCTTTTTCCAAGGAGCAGTAACAAATGCTTTCTCAAGTCACTGAAGAAAAATTTACAGGTGTGGAGAGATAGCTCAGAGGTTAAGAGCACTGGCTGCTTGTGCTTCCAGAGGTCCTGAGTTCAATTCCCAGCAACCACATGGTGGCTCACAACCATCTATAGTGAGATCTGGTGCCCTCTTCTGGCATGTAGGCATACATGCAGACAGAACACTGTATACATAAATAAAACTTAAAAAAACAACAACAACAAAAAAAACTACAGGGTAGACATCTCCCCTCAAATTTAATTTATTTTTTGCTTCAGAGTTTAATACATTGATGATTGGTTAGACAAATGCTTAAAGAGGAATACAACAAACACTGTCTTTTATGTGGCCAATAATTATAGATCTTTTTCTCACAAGAATGGCTCCCGGCATGGTGATGCTGATTTTTGAAAGAAAAGATGAGGGCCTGTTTTAAAACAACTTTCACCTTTTCACTGAAATATTACTCTGTGATTTATTTTACAAACAAATTCTTAAAAATAATTTGTTAAACAACTAACCCTTTAAAAATAAATAAAATTTCTCTGTTGGGAAGCAATAATTGAAAAGAAAACAGAGGTCTTTCCTACCTGTTCAAGTAGATGAGGGTACCCAGCTTGAACTTGGCCAACAAACTCTTGTCCTTTGATTCTTATCAAGTATTCACACCTAAAATGCAAAGAAGCCTTGGGCATTCCTTAACAAGACAACTTTGTTCATTACCAGCCTCAGAAGGGACAGTACCACTACAAGTAGTTTTATTGTGCTCATTTTTATGATTGAAAACTCATTTTAATTTCAGAAAGTGAAGTGAAATGTAATGACACATTCATGTCTAGGTGTTCACCTTGTGTGAAATCTGGTTACCCAGGTGACAGAATCACCAAAGACCAGATTCCTAACATTAGGAGAATAAGCAAGCCTGGGCTACCGGGACTGACACTGTGTGAGCTTGTTTTCCTTATGGGGCTTTATGAAGGTTCATTGTTTTGCTTGTGTGTATGTCTGTGTCCGTGTGTGTGTTTATGCACGTGAATGCCAGGCCCATGGAGGTGAGAAGCACCTGGCCCTCCGGGACTGAAATTATAGGTGGTTGTGAGCTGCCTGAATGTGGGTGCTGGGACCCAAGAGCTCTCACCTCTGACCCATCTCTCCAAGTGCTGCCCATTGAGGGGAGGGTGAATTTGATTAACTTCTAGCACTTTTCATATACTTCAGTTGCTTTATAAAATTAGCTTTACTACTTTATGTTTTATAGTTTTATTACCAGGCTATACCATATCTCTCTGAATTTTGAAAATCCTGAAAAGTTTATGGCACATTGGGCGGAGCCATTCTATGTAGGCTGGTAAACATTCCTCAGGAGCTTGAACACAAACATAAGCACCACACTATTGACTTGGCACAGGAAGGAGGAAGGGGCTGTAGCGAAAGGCAGGATCATGGAGAGGAGTAGCCTCTGTGCTGTCAAGGCTGAGCCACTGAGTGGTGATCACGAGGAGCTCCCAGCACAGTCCTCAAGCCAAGGCCACCAAGAGGTCTCTACTCAGAGTTTCTCCCTGCTCTCCATTCTTCTTAGGTTTCTAAAAATACCGCTAAGCCAACATGGACGCAGAGAGTTCTCTCCATAAGTCATGTGATCATTTCAGTGACAATGTCATGGTCTGAAAACATGCAAACAGACTTGAGGGAAAGAATGGGGACACTCAGCACAACCTTCTGTTGATGAGCTTCCCAATCCCTACATTAGAGATCCCCTGCTAAAGCAAGTACAGAGTGAATCCATACAGTGCTGGTGCAGGCTCAGGACTCCTACTGTAGCGGCTGGCGAGACGGCTCAGTGGGTACTTGCCACCAAGTTTGGTAACATGAGTTCAGTCCCACAGGATAAAAGGAGAGAACCAGCCCTCAAAAAGTGTTCTCTGACCTTCACAAAATATACACACATAAAACAAACAAAAAAAAGTATTAAAAAATTTAACTAGAGTAATGGAAAGCACTTTTTAAAAAAATCTATGTAAATACTTTTTTTCTTTTTTGGCTTTTCGAGGGGGTGGGGGGGATATTCTTCATAATCTTCACAATGTTTAAAATCTGAAGTAATGGGGCAGAAGAGATGACTCAATAGTTAAGAGCACTGGCTGTTCTTCCAGAGGACCAAGGTTTGATTCCCAACTCCCAAGTTTTGGCTCAGACCCTCTCTAACTCCACTCACAGAGGGTGCATCGCCCTCTTCTGGCCTCTGCAGGCACTGCACAAAATGGTGCTTAGACGTGAGTAGGCAAAATACTCATGCATAAAAAAATAAAACAAAATCTGCAGTACTTAAGAGCAAAGATACAGGGGGGGGGGGCGGTGGCGGCCCACGCCTTTAATCCCAGCACTCGGGAGGCAGAGGCAGGTGGATCTCTGTGAGTTTGAGACCAGCCTGGTCTACAAGAGCTAGTTCCAGAACAGTCTCCAAAGCCACAGAGACACCCTGTCTCAAAAAAAAAAAAAAAAAAAAAAAAAAGGGCAAAGGTACTCTAAGGAAGATAATGTATCTCATGAAAATCTTATAAGATGTAAAGGAGAATTTCAAGGCAGTTACCTTGGAAACCACTTGGCGTGCTCCACCCAGGGGTCATCTCCAGACTCCCAGCATCTCAGCCCGCCATCACAGCAAAAGCATTTGACATCATCACTGTGTCCTAAAATTCATTTTGAAGCACACTTGTGAGTACACAAAATTTGCTCAGTCACATGTGTAACATAACACATGTTGGATCTTTAAGAGTCTCAGATTGAGGTTCTCACCTGTGTAATAAAAGCCGGCACTTGCAAGTTGCTGAGGATGAACGGGAGCACTGGGAGGCCAGTTAAAGAACGTCCTAACTCGTGCTGCGTGTGTCTGCATGCTCAGGTTAGAGACAGAGTATCTTGAAGCGGATTGACTCGGATCTTTTAAGAATGGGCAATTGGGAAAATGTCTCCGATGCTCTGACATAGCGTCATCCTTCGGTTCCCAGTTGCTCAGTTTCCCACCACACGCAAAGCAGGCCACCCTGTCTCCAGGTCCTACATAGTAGAAGCCGGCTCTGGCCAGCTCAGCTGGTGACAGGAAGGACAATGGCCACGTTTGATAGGTGAGTAATCTGGCCTTCTCCGTATTCATTGCAAAGTGGTAGGGACTTGTCCTCAAAGTAGGGCAATCTTGATTTGCTCTGAAGTTCACAGCATCCGAGGGAAAGCTTGAATAAGAGCCACTGAAATAACCAGTGTTCTCCAAACTTGCAAATAATGAAGGCACGGCGCTTGGCTCTGCAGACAGAAGAGGCGGCTGAGGGCTGGTTTCCAGACTGCCGGCTGGATTCAGAGTTCGAACAAAGCTGCAGCTGGGGTACAGCTGCCTGTGCTTTTCCACAGGACTGTCGCCTTGTTTCCAGTTGTCCAGCATCAGGCCGCAGCAGAAGCACTTGACTTTGTCGTTGACACCCGTGTAGTAAAAGCCAGCACGAGCCAGGCTCCTTTCCGATACAGGAACTCCAGCGGGGAAAGCTGAGTACGTGGACAAACGGTACAGCTCACATGAAAAGTCGTACTTCAATTCAAAGGTGTCGGCACTCTTCATCAGCTTGGACAGGAAGACACTGTCTGGAGCCATGTTCATGACGAATCGGTAGGGAGGGGAGGGGACCAGCCTTCCTCTGGGGAGGTAGTTTTGTGCATGGCTTTTGGTCAGTTTTACTACTAGGCTGAACACCTAAAATAAGAACAAACTCATTTTTTTTCTTCTATGTATTTCAGGATTCAGTAGGATGAGAGTCTAAATCCTACCCTGATACATTTAAGGCACAATTACACACAACCATACCTTTGCACAATCTTCATGCATACAATAGAAACTAGATTCTCCCTAAGAGCCAATGTGTGATAGAACTTAATTCCATCCTGGAAACATAGTGTTTGGGCACTTTGGGCCAGGCATCTTGAGGGGCAAGCCTGCTTCTCCTTGCTACAAGGAGGCACTAATGGCGTTCACCCAACCTGCACATGAAAGTCTGGTTCATGAAGCTATGTATGTATTCATATAGAATGAAACATGGATCAGACAGGATTTTAAAATAATAAACCACTTCAAGAGTTTTGTTTGGTTTTTGTTTCCTTTCAAAGGACCAAGACTTACTAACTACTTAGAACACCGAGTTTGTTCATCTGTAGCACTGGGGACTGAGCCCAGGGCCTCTGGCTCACAAAGCCTGTGTGGTACCACTCAGTTCTACAGCAAGTCTCAATCTCTCAATTTCTTTCTCTCTCTGTCTCTCTCCCCCTCCCTCCCTCCCTCCCTTCCTTCCTTCCTTCTTTTTTTGATTTTTTCAAAACAGGATTTCTCTATGTAGTCCTGGCTGTTTTAGAACTCACTCTGTAGACCAGGCTGGCCTCAACCCCAAACTCAGAAATCAGTCTGCCTCTGCCTTCTGAGTGCTGGGATTTAATGGTGTGGGCCACGAATGTAGGCTTGAGACCCAAACTCAGAAATTATGTCACAGAGTGTGTTCCCTGAGCACATATTTATCAAAACAAACAAGTCTATTACCATCTGAACACAGAGACCTTCAAATTGAGAGTCTCTCATAGAAGGACTCACTAGCCATTAGCAAATTCATCCTGTGTAAAGGCATGGGGGTTTGCTGCCACTGGCTGGAGTGGCTTCCTGCAGTTCACAGATATGGCAGGTTCTCTACCAAGGACACCAACTCATTATCTCTAAATGGCAGGAGAAATCCCACAGCTGTCAACAAGAGTCTCTCTCAGGAGAAATCATTGTGTCTAACCTCTCTGTCCCCTCCACAGGGTTATGAAAACTTGGTCGTTCTATGACATTTCTTTCTGAATAAACTAGTTCATCTGCCAAAATAACTCTCATGCTTACAGTCTATTTAAAAGTTGTGCTGTGTAGACCTTTAAAATACCAATGGTGGACAGTTTCTCAACTCTCTTGTAGTGTCTGTCTTACTTCCTCTAAATCTGCTGTGCCTACGAGAACATTTTGTTCCTGTTTGTTCTCTGTCATTGTTGCAATCTTTGAATGTGTCAGTGACCTCATGAGTACACTTCTGTACTACTGTGCAAAGCAGATTACTCATTTCCTCTGGATAGCCGGCACTCATGTTTGGATCTTTCTTGAATGTGGGCACTTTTTAAAAAGTGCCAGCCAGTGGGAAATTGCCAGGCAACTTTCTGAAGAGTGCTTCATCACTGTGCCCAGCCACAGAACTCCTTCCCTTCCTAGAGTCAAGTTCACAACCAAATCATAATACTCAACGCCTCAGACAATCAGACTACAGACTTCAAATGAGCATCTTTAGACAACAGTCCCGAAAGTCAACTGAGGGCTGAATTTGTCTGTCCATGCACAAAACTACCTCCCAAGATTAGACTAAGTCCCTTTAAGGGGTTTAGGCCTCCATTTTGAGATGTTTTGGTTTACAGAAAAAAAAAAAACAGAAAAAAAGCTACAAGTAGTAGAAGGGTTTGTGTCCTTTGTAAACCTGTTTAAAATAGAGAAATTAAAGTCAAACAACTCAGGTTTATAATACAATGTCTTTTTTCTTTTCTTTCTCCCCCTACTCCCTCTTTTTCGAGACTGGGATTTCCCTGTGTAGTCTAAGACAGCCTCAAACTCATGATTTTCCTGTCTGTTTCCCAAATCCTGGGATTATAAGCAAGTGCCACCATGATCTTTTCCTTAAGATGCTTTATACAAAACAGAAACTGGTCTGTAGCAAGAAGCTATGCTAATTCGGGCTGTCAGCGGGGCTCAGTGGTAGGGCACTCAGATAGCATACTCAAGACTCCTACCTCAGTCCCCAACTCTGAGAAAACAATGCTGCACTGGGTGTTGTCAGCCAAGAAATCTCACACAGAACTCATGAGTTACAGACCAGAGCATATATATAAAAACTTGCAGATGTCACATATACTTTGCACCCAGCTTCCCAAAATTAACATCTTATATAACAATAATGAAATTACAAAACTAGAAATTCCTTTTTATTTCTGACTGCACTGGGCCATCTCTCCAGCCCCAGTGCTCTTTGCAGTAATTTCAAGAGTCATAATACTTTACTCTTCTCACGTGCCTTTTTTGTTTTGTCTTAGACAGATATGCTACAGCTAGGGCTAGCTTGGTACTCAGTCTGTAACCCAGACTAGCCTCAAACAGTAGTATGCTGCCTGAACCTCCTGAGTTCTGAGGTTACAGGCATGAGCCACCAACTCAGATTCTAATTGTCTTTATTAGAATTACTAATGAAGGGCTTATACCTTTCTCTTTACAATTGAATAGTACTCCAGTGTACACACACACAAACACATTTTCTTCATCCGTTTATCTGTTAACAGGCATTCAATCTGTCCCGTTGTGAATAGTGATACAATAAACAGTGTGGGGGGTTGAATGAGAATGGCCCCCATACGCTCATATATCTGACTGTTTAGTCCCAAGTTGGTGGAGTGTTTAGGAAAGATTAGGAGGTGTGTCCTTATTGGAGGAGGTGTGTCACTAGAGGTCGGCTTTGAGGTTTTAAAAGCCCACACCAGGCCCAGGCTTTCCCTCTGCCTGCTGCTTGTGGATCAGGATGTAGCTCTCTCTCAGCTACTGCTCCAGCACCGTCCCTTCCTGCAAACTGCCATGCTCCATCATGATGATCGTGGAGTGGGCCTCTGACACCATAAGCAAGCCTCCAGTGAAAGCTTTCTTTTATAAGTTGTCTTGGTCATGTCTCCTCACAGTGACAGAACAGTGACTAAGACACAGGGTAGTCAGGAATTTCTCCCAAGCTGTCTTAAACTCCTCCATGTACCTATCAAGGAGTGGGAAAGCTGGGTCATATGGCAGTTCAGTGTTTAGTTTTCTGAGATGCTACACTGGTTTCCATAGACACCTTCCCAGCAACAGAGGGTTTGTTTTCTTTACATCCTAACATACCTCCATGCCTCGGCCCCTTCCTCCAATCTCTCTTTGCCACATTCACTCAGTTAACTGTGTTCTTCAAAAAGAGGTGCAGCCCCTGCCTGCCTGTGGTCTCAAGCCTTTTGGCAGCCTCAGAGAAACAACTACCCCCTCATGGAGCCACTCTCTCCTACTGCTTTGACTAGACTCTGCCTCACGTCTCCTCAAACACTGCACAACCCTAGTCCCGCCACAGTCCTTATGCTGAGTCCCTCTCAACTTCCAAATGAAGACCACCTCAAAGACCGCTTTTTATTCTAGCTTCTCCCGGGTCAGGTCCTCCCAACCAAGCCTAAAGAACATTTGCCTGTGAATCACATCTCCACACAACCAGATATTCTGTGTGCCAGCACCCCTCAAACACTCCATATTCATAACATCAAATCCACAGGAAGTGTTGCCATCTGCCACTGGGACCTACTTCCTCTTAGACCTGTCCTGATCCCCGCCCCTGTCCACATCAGTATGTAGGAGTCCTCTGTCCCTCACAGTGGTTCCTTGCGGGTCAGCTTGGCAACCCGGTCTCTTCTCTGCTTACTCTACCGTTTCCTGTAGACCTCAAGGGTGGCTGTATGACACTGCAGGGTAAATGTGTCTTTCTCCCTCCACCTTGGACTATTTCTCCTTCAGAAGAGGAAGTATACTTTAGTTTCTGTAGTAGCCACAGTCACAGGCCGAGCAAAGACACTGAGCCTTGTAACTGTCGTGTGAGACATATACCCCAGACTGGCATTGAACTCCCAAGTACCACAACTACAGGCCTGCACTACTAATCGCAGCAAAACTTCTTGTTGAATTTCTTAGCACAGTTGACAGGGCTCATCATGTCCATAGCACCTTCATTTATTAAGTCACATATCATAGGACGGGTGTCAGTCCCTTTTTACAAAGGAAACAACCAGGAGACCAGACATACCTTTAATCCCAGCACTCCGGAAGCAGAGGCAGGTAGATATCAAAGTTGCCTTGAGTTCAAAGCCATCCTGTTCTACTTACACAGTTCCAGGCCAGTCAGGGATACACAGTGAAGCCCAGAAAAACCACAAGTACCTCAGTTTTGTCGTTGCAGAATGGAGTTAATAACGGTGCCCACTGCTTACAATTGGTGATTAAGTGTACAGTTGGTGACATAAGTCTTTAGGGCAGACCCTGGCATGTAGTAGACAGAGAAATGACCACAGCCATTTCCTGACTAGATTAAGAGCACTACTGAGAAACTGGGTGCAGTGACTCAGACCTGTAAGTCCGTCACTCAAGGGGTTAAGGCAGGAGGATTTTCCAGAGTTCAAAGCCACTGGGACCTACCTATAGTGTGCGAGTGGTCTCCAACACCTATCCCTCCCCCAAAAGAAAGAGTCCTAGTGTACTTCCAGGCTGATTACTAAGAAAACAACCACTCCCATGCTCAAGCTTCCCCAAGCCCAGGTTCTCACAGTCTCAAGTCTCCCAGCTGCCTCTGGGCAGCCAGGGCCAGTGGGCAGGACCAGAGGTGCACAGCAGCCGTTTTTTGCAGGCCTGAGATCCAGCCACCCTGGCGCCCCTCCCGCCGCCCCCCCCGCCGGCACTCCCCCCCCCCCCCCCCCCCGCGCCACGCCCCCCCC